TTATACACCAAAGCATACTTGGTTTAATTTTTTTTTTGAGACAGGGTCTCGCTTTATAGCCAGGCTGGAGTGCAGTAGTGCAATCCCGGTTCACTGCAACTTCCATTTTCTGGTTTTAAGCAATCCTCCTGCCTCAGCCTCCTGAGCAGCTGGGACTATGGGCACACACCACCACGCCTGGCTAATTTTTTTGTATTTTTAGTAGAGATGGGGTTTCACCATGTTGGCCAGGATATTCTCAATCTCTTGACCTCATGATCTGCCTACCTTGGCCTCCCAAAGTACTGGGACTACAGGTGTGAGCCACCGCACCTGGCTACTTGATTTAGTTTTTGGGACAGAGTCTTACTCTGTCACCTAGGCTGGAGTGTAATGGCATGATCTCAGCTCACTGCAACCCCGCCTCCTGGGTTCAAATTATTCTCATGTATCAGCCTCCCAAAGAGCTGGGATTACAGGCATGTGCCAACATGCTCAGCTAAATTTTATATTTTTAGTAGAGATGGGGTTTTGCCATGTTGGCCCGGCTGGTGTCAAACTCCTGTGCCTCAAGTGATCCGCCTGCCTCATCCTCCCAAAGTGCTGGGATTACAGATGTGAGCCACTGTGCCCAGCCAGCATTTTTTATTTTATATGAAATAGAGTAGAATAGAAAATACCAGTGTGCATTGCATGAAGTAAGGGTAGGTCCTGTTTGGTGAAGACTGTTCTGTTCCAGGCATATGTATAAGTGAGTGAGTACTGAGTTGCAGTGTAAAATGTGTTTTTTACTATGTATCGGGTTAAAAAAGTTTGAAATACTGCAAAAAATGCAGATCCCAGGCTGGCCATGGTGCCTCATACCTGTAATCCCAGCACTTTGGCAGGAGGATTGTTTGAGCCCAGGAGTTAAAAGCCAGACCTCATCTCTACAAAAAATAGAATTAGCCAGGTGTGGTTGTACGTACCTGTGATCCTAGCTACTCAGGAGGCTAAAGTGGAAGGATCGCTTGATCCTGGAAGGTGGAGGCTGCAGTGGGCCATGATTGCACCGCTGCACGGCAGCCTGGGTGACAGAGCAAGACCCTGGACCCGGTCTAAAAAAAAAAAGATCTCCAGTCCCCACATCAGTCTAGCTGGGGAGACTTCTGGAATCTGCATTTTTTTCCCATATATTTAATTTTTTAAATTGTACTTAGGTTTTGAGGTAGGAATCTGCATTTTTAACTAGCATCCTCAGAAATACCTGTGCCCACTTGGTGAGAGCGTCCAGTTCGATGTCCATTTTATAGATGGAGACAGTGAGGCCAGGGTGGGGAAACGGTGCCTAGTAGGCGAAAGCTTTGGAGCTGGACCGTCTGGCTCTGCTTCGTGACCTTGGGCAAGTCACTGAACCTTTCTGAGCCTCTGTTTCTTCATTGTGTCTATAGAGAAGACCCCTAGCAGACTGCTGGCCTGACACATGTAAAGGGCCGGGCACTAAGCAGGTGCTCATGGCCCACCCGCCCCTTCTCCAGCCCTGTCCCCTACTCCTCCCCTTCAGTGACACGCCTGTCTCTGCCCCACAGACCAACAGAACTTCACAGTGACACTGGACCAGGTGTTGCTCCGCTGCCTGGAACACCAGCAGCACTGGAACTACCTGGATGAGGAGCAGGCCAGCCCGGCCCTCTGGAGCGCCCCCAGCCCGGAACTTGCTGGGCCTGCATCCCTGCTGCTGGCGCCCCACCCACCCCACAGCAGCGCCAGCTCCCTTGTCTTCAGCTGCATTTCACATGCCTTGCAATGGATCAGCCAAGGTCGAGATCCCGTCTTCCAGCCACCCAGTTCCCCAAAGAGCCTCCTTACCCACCCTGCGGCACGCAGTGGGGCTAGTATACTCCATGAGGCTGCTGCCGTCCACGTGCTGGTCACTGGCAGCCTGCACCTGGTGGGTGGTGTCCTGAAGCTGCTAGAGCCTGCACTGTCCCAGTAGTCAAGGCCCAGGGTTGGAGGTGGGAGTCCCCCACAGCTGCCTGCATTCTCCCCATGAACTCACATACCAGGTGCCTTTTGTGCCTCTGCTTTCCTGGTTCTGTCTAGACTGGCGTAGGGACCAGGGCTCTGGGATGGGAGACCAGGAGAGGATGTCCTCCGTTTTGAGGCTCTGTGCCTTGGCCTCTCCTCCTTCCCCTTCCTTCTGGCTGAGATGGCGGACGGCTGAGTTGGGGGCTCCCCAGGTCTCTCACTGTTCCAGTGGCCTGGCCACTCAGGTTGTCTTCCCCCACACCCCGCCGCCTTCTGGCTCAGGCCCAGCTTATTGTGTGTGCTGCTGGCCAGGCCCCAGGTCCTGCTGGGTGCTGGGTGGTAGATTTCCTCCTCCCAGTGCCTTCTGGGAAGGGAGAGGGCCTCTGCCTGGGACAGCCTGGGACAGAGAGTGGCTGGAGTGAATTAAAGCCTTTGTTTTTTTAAAAAAAATGGCAAAGCCTTCGACTGACACTTGACCCCCTTCTCCCTCAGCAGAGGCAGGGAGAGAAGGGCTGCAGGTGGTCAGGGACCTGTGCTGTGTAGAGGGAGGGTGGCTGCGTGGCCGGGAACAAGTCCCTCCCTCCCTGTGCACCTCAGTGGCCCGTCTGTGACATCAGAAGACTGGACTGATGCCTGTTGACTATATGCCAGGCAGTGCTTTCTGCAGACCCATCTTACGATGTGAATTACATCCACTTGACAGGCGAGGAATCTGTGACTGGCCTCAGGAAGCATGTGCCTACTATCACAAGCCCACAAGTGGCAGGTTCAGGATTTGAACTCACAGCAGTCAAGGGCCTGTGTTCAGAACCCCAGAGTGAGTGTGGCTGGGGCTTCCTGGGGTTTCCTTTCTTGCAGCCTTAGTCCCGTGGTGTGCTGCCGAGGGGTGATAGGCTGAGGGCAACTGACTGAATCGAAACCTGCTATGCCTTGGCTGCTGATACTGTTCAAGATGCCACGCCTGCCACCAGGCCAAGCCCAGTGGGGGCCAAGGACAAGAGCAACCCTATCCTCTGCCCTCAGCCCAGCCCTGTTTTGAATGTCACTGCCCTTCTCCCAGCTCAACCCAGCACTGGTTTCAAGGTCTGATTTATTGGTGGTGAATACACAGGGGCGGGCCCAGGACAAGCAGCTTGGATTCTCCCCCTGCCGGCTGCCTGATCGGTAGAGGGGGCTCTGTGTGGCAGAGGAGCTAGGCTCCCAGTGCCCACTGTTCTTGCCACCCTCTGGGCTCCTGTCTCTCCTGCTAGTTAGGCAAGTCCAGGTGTGGAGGCTACAGGGATAGATCCAGGTGGCTCTGGGCTGGGCCCGCTTCTGTTCCCAGCAGGGAGGCGCCGTCAGCCTGGCTGGGCTGGTCTGAATCTGTTTCGCTTTCTCCCCTCCTGCCCAGCTCGGTTCACCAGTGCCGGATCCAGGTTCAAATGACAGGGAATTGGGTTTTTACAACTGTGTGGCAAGTGGTGTCCATGGTCCTGGGCAGCCATATCCCAGGCTGGGTTAAAGGTTCTGTGGAGTGGGGTGGAGACCCCCCCAAGATGTTCCAAGCCAGTGGCCCTGCTGGCAGCAGGCCTCCGAGAGGGAGGCAGGAAGGGCAGGCGCAGAGAACAGGCTCCATCCTGGGTCCAGTGGAGGACTGGCTCCCAGGGTGAGTTCACGCCTGCGCTCCTGGCTGGTGGCTGCTCAGTCTCCTGCTGGGCGAGTGCGGGGGACCCGGGGCTATGCCATGCTGCTGGTGGAGCAGGGGGTGCTCTGGGTGCTCCCGATGCTGTGGTTGGTGCTGCTGCTCTCTGAGGAGGCGGGGGCAGCCACCGCCACCACGGGCTCCTGCTTGCGGGGGGGACCTGGGAGCAGGGGCAGGGGCGGAGGTCAGGGTCCTGGCCAGGGTTCCCCAATCTCTCAGAGGTTTCACTGGGCTCCCCCGGGTGGGTGGACGGGTCCGGCATGCTCACTGCGGGGGCCTGGGGTACTCACGCGTGTGCGAGTAGATGTACCAGAGCGCGGCGGTGAGCAGGGCCCCGATGAGGAAGGCACCAAAGGTGATGCCCAGCACGGCGGGCAGGAGGAGGCCTTTGCTTGTGCAACCTAGAGAGGGCCGGTGCCATCAGCACTGCTGCCTCTGACCCCACCCCCTACCCTGTTATACTGGCCCGTGTGGGCTTTGGTGCCAGCCCTGCTCAGCCATGGACCCTCAACTTCTCTGAACCTCAGTCTCCTCTTGTAGCAAATGGGCTCATCATAGCCGGGCTCGGCCTTGAGCCACGGTTGCTATGACCGTCCACCTAGATGGCCCAGCCAGGCCTTGTGGGTCGTGCCTCTGCCCCTCAAGGCTGATAGAGATGCGTTTTCAGGGAGAATGGATACGGTAATGTGAGGAAACTGAGGCTCAGGAGTGCAGACCCTTCCTCATCTGCTGTGTGACCTTAGGTCAGCCCTGCTCCTCTCTGAGGTCTTTAGCAGGCAGAGCGAGGGCTAGAGCAGCCCCCAGCGCCCTGCAGCTCTGCTGTTGGACTGTTCCAAACCTCATTCCCTCCACATTCCTGACTCCTGTGTGACTGCGGGCCAGGTGACCTTCCCTTCAGCCTCTGAGGTCCCATCTGTGTCATGGGGTTATTAGCCCTGCCTTCTTGGTCCTGGGCTGGGACTGGAGGCACCATCCTGGCGTGGATGGGATGGCAAAGAGATAGATACCCCCATCCCTCACCCCTGCCTTTGCCGCCAGTGTCAGGGACTCTTCTCCCTGGTGTGGGCCTGGGCCTATGGGGAACTGACGGAGAAGCTAGAGCGGGCATCCTGCAGGGAGGGGCCTCAAGGAAGGCAAGGCCAGCACCCCCACCCCAAAGGGCCTCTGTCCCACCCAGGAGGCTCCAATCTCCCAGCAAGGTCAACCAGTAACCATGGGGATGGAGCGGAGCTGTGAGTAGGGGCAGAGACCTAGACTCCCACCCCACAGGGCGGTCCTGAGCAAGGGCTCCCCATCTGCAAAGTGCAGCTCTGGCCCCTGCTCTAGGCTGCTAGGGTGCTGGGAAGCCCTCCTCCCTCCCCTTCTGGGCCACTTTCTCTGGGGTCCCCCTGCCATGTGCTATGTGCCCAGGCCGTTTCTCGGGGCTGCCCGCTGTGCCTTACTTTGACCTCAGCCGCTAGGACAAACTTGAGATACCCGGAGGAAGCTCACCAGACAAGTCAGGGCTGATGTTTAAGCGCGTGAAGACAGTGCTGCGGAATTCCTGGAGTGGGGAGAGAGCAGCATGTGGCACGGCCTTCGGGAGGCAGCTTCCAGCTTACCCCAGCCCACCCTAGAGCCTCAGCTTTGAATCCCGTCTCCATCGCTTCCTAGCTGGATGCCTTTGGGCGAGTCCTGAAAGATCTGTGCTGTGAGAGGGGACCTAGTGGATGATCCTTGGCTGCTGCCAGAACGTTTCCTGTGAGTTCCTGGAGGTCCTGATGCCCAGGAGCACTGTGGGAGCACTACAAATCCCTCACCCTTGTGAATGCTTTGGAGCTATGAGCCAGGTCAGCCCAGGGAGGAGGCTCCCACAGTGAGGAGCCTCTCCTTCCTCACTGTGGCTGGAGGGAGAGGCCCACTTAGGGGAGGCTTAAAGGCCTCCCTAGCTTCATGTGACCAGGTAAGTTTGTAATCCTGGAGGCCTGTCTGTGCAAGGGCCTGGGGGTGACTCTGGGGGCATCCAGGACAGACTGCTTGAGAGTGGGGCTCAACAGATGGTGAAGTGTTGTGACTGGCAAATACAGAAAGCCAGGAGTGTGTGTCCTTTGTCCCACGTCTCTTCCCTAAGGTCTCCTGTTCTTTGAAATGATGCTGGTGATCATAGTACATGGATGTGAGGGTGGCTGAATTCCTGGGTGGGACGGTGGGAAGATGGGTGGGTGCCCTGGCGGGACGGTGGCAAGATGGGTGGGTGCCCGGGCGGGGCGGTAGGAAGATGCATGGGTGCCAGGGTGGGATGGTGGCAAGATGCGTGGATCCATGGATAGGATGGCAGGTGGGTGGGAGGGTGGATGGATGGACAGATGGAAGAGTAAGTGGAAGGATAGTTGGACAGTCGCAGCTGCATAGCTTACCAGTACCCAAGACACAGCAATCCCACCAGAGAGCTCTAAGGTGGCAGAAAGTGCCACTGGCAGCCAGACTGCTAGTCCATGTGCCTGACTAAGGCTCTGCCCCTCACCAGCTGGCCTCATATCCCCATGGGCTGCCATGTCCCTACCTGCAAACCACAGTCCTGGCAGCTCCCACTTGAAGCTGGGCCCAGCCCAGGCCCCACTCACCTGGGACCCGGTCTTGGGACGCAGGGCTACAGTGCAGCGGAGGGTGCCGGCTTTGGGTATGGGTGCTGTGTAGACGTGGAAGAGGAAGCTGAAGCGTGGGTCACCCTCAGGGCTTGGGGACAGCAGGTTTACACAGCTGCTCTTGGCTACCCGGCCCTGGATGAGTTCCATGGTTCCTCCTTCAGGCCCCAAGTCCAGGTGGCAGCTGTCTAGCTCGAGTAGGAGCTCGGGGATCGGTGGGGACATTTTCACCTGCACGGATAGGTAGGGCCATGTGCCATGGGCAGTGGCTCTTAACCCCACCCCACCTGCTGCCTTGAAATCTCAGCTAGAAGGAAGAGTTCCCACTCGAGTCCTCACGGTGGAAGGAAAGGCATGGGCCTTCCTGGGACAGAGGAGGAGGACAGGACAACATCCTTGTCAGTGTCCCTTAGCAATACCTTCTCTGTCTCTCCCTTTCCAATGCACCCAGGATGTCTCCCTCCTGACTGGGATTCTCATCTCTGGAGTCATGGGGGAAGAAAGGCAGAGAGGAAGTTCTGGAGCTGGGAGGCCTGAGGGGTGACAGGCTTGCCAGGTACCTGCACAAAGCCCTGCTGCCCCAGCTCGATGGTGCTGGAGGCCTGGAGGAAGCGCGAGCTGAGGTAGAGGCCCAACTGGAAAGAGAGGCTGTCCATGTTGAGGCAGTACACCTTTTTCTGGGGGAGGACAGGAGGGAGATTCCGTCAGTCCAGCAACACCAACCAGGAGGGCGAGGGGTGTAAGGAGGAATGGAGGTCATGGCCCTGTGGAGTTGCCTGACTCTCTTCCTCATTTTTTTTAAACAAAACTAAACTAATGTTTGGCTGGGCGTGCTGGCTCACACCTATAATCCCAGCACTTTTGGAAGCCGAGGTGGGTGGATCACAAGGTCAAGAGATCGAGACCATCCTGGCCAATATAGTGAAACCCCATCTCTACTAAAAATACAAAAATTAGCTGGGCGTGGTGGCACGTGCCTGTAGTCCCAGCTATTCAGGAGAATCGGTTGAACCCGGGAGGCGGAGATTACAGTGACCCAAGATCATGTCACTGCACTCCAGCCTGGCGACAGAGCAAGACTCCGTCTCAAAAACATTTTTAAAAAATCTAATATTTATCAAGGAGGCATCAGGTGCCAGGCTATTTGAAGAGCTTCCACATGGCATCCCACTGTCTGCCCAGAAGCACCCTGTGGTGCAGAGTCCTTTCTTAGGCCACCTTTGGGCCCACAAAACTAAAGTGACTTGCCCAAGGCCACACAGTCAATATGTGCTAAGCCCTCTGACTTGAGAAGCTGAGAGTGTCACCCTCCACAGTCCTGCTCCCCTCATACAGAAGGGAAGACCGAGGCATGCTGGAGACATGGCTTACCAGGAGTTTCCCAGGCCTGCTCCCTCCCAAGCCAGGAAAAGGCCCCCCGCCCAGCAGCAGCCCCCAGGTGGGTTAGCATGTGACCGTCCATCTCACCCGCTGTGGTGATGGGCTCGACAGGATATTGACCACCACCTGTGAAGACAAAGCCAAGGAGCTGGTCAGAGCCAGAAGGAACCCCAGAGGGTATCCCACCCAACACGCCCATTTTGCGGATGGGGAGACTGAGCCAACCGATGGCCAAACTTGTCTTGTGGGCCGAGCCCCTGCACCCTGCTCTCCCAAACACCCCTCAGCCTGGGTGATCAAGGAGGCACCAGAGGCAGGCACCAACCAGCCTGGTCCTGATACCTTTCTGGCCCCAGCACTTACCTCATTGCTGATCATATTTGCTGTCACAACCATGCCACAGCTGGAGTAAGCACTGCGCAAGACAAACTGGTCACCGCTGTCCTTGGCCTGACAGCTGGAGTCCCCTAAGGTCAGGCCCGTGATGGTGCACCTCAAAGCCTGGGTTGGGAGAGGGCACCATCAGAAGGCACCGGGGTCTCTGTGGCCTGTCACTCCCCAGCACCGAGGACTGACCACAACCCAGGGGTCCCAGGCCACAGCCATTCCCCTGCCCTGCTTCCTCTTCACTTTTGTTAGATGTTGTCATCCTACACCACTTAAGACTTCTTTTGTTTTTGAGATGGAGTCTGACTCTTGTTGCCCAGGCTGGAGTGCAGTGGCTCCATCTTGGCTCACTGCAGCCTCTGCCTCCTGGGTTCAAGTAATTCTCCTTGCCTCAGCCTCCCAAGTATCTGGGATTACAGGCGCCCACCACCATGCCTGGCTAATTCTTGTATTTTTAATAGAGATGGGGTTTCACCATGCTGGCTGGGCTGGTCTTGAACTCCTGACCTTAGGTGACCCACCTGCCTTGGCCTCTGAAAGTGCTAGGATTACAGGCATAAGCCACCATGCCCAGCCCACTTAAGACTTCTTGAACTTGCTCACTTTTGCACTAAGCCTTGTCCTAAGCAATAATAGCTGTGGGATCATGAATTCTCTTCTTATATCTAACAAAATAAACACAGAACTATTAAAATATTCCTTCAAGTTGCACATATAATCATCATTCACAGCCCCAGGGGCATGAAAACCCTACAAGTATAATCCAGTCTCACGCCTGGGGTGGGCAAATCATGCCTATCAAGATCCAGATAGTAAATGCTGTCATGCACTACAGAACAAGTTTTGGTCAGCAACGGACTGCATATACGATGGTGGTCTCTGGTTCCATAAACTTATAACACAGCTGAAAGTTTTCTGTTGCCTAGTGTTTGTGGTGATGCTGGTGTAAGCGAACTTATTGTACTGCTGGTCATATAAAAGTCTAGCACAGGCCAGGCGCAGTGGCTCATGTCCGTAATCCCAGCACTTTGGGAGGCAAAGGTGGGTGGATCACATGAGGTCAGAAGTTCGAGACCTGCCTGGCCAACACAGTAAAACCCCAACTCTACTAAAATTATAAAAATTAGCCAAGTGTGGTGGCACACACCTGTGGTCCCAGCTACTTGGGACCAGGCTGAGGCACGAGAATTGCTTGAACCCGGGAGGCGGAGGCTGCAGTGAGCTGAGATTCCATCACTGCACTCCAGCCTGGGTGACAGAGCGAGACTCTGTCTCTAAAAAAGAAAAAGAAGGCTGGGCGCAGTGGCTTATGCGCGTAATCCCAGCGCTTTGTGAGGCTGAGGTAGGCAGATCACCTGAGGTTAGGAGTTCGAGACCAGCCTGGCAAATATGGTGAAACCGCCTTTCTACTAAAAATTCAAAAAAGTAGTTGGGCATGATGGTGATGCCTGTAATCCCAACTACTCGGGAGGCTGAGGCAGGAGAATCACTTGAACCTGGGAGGTGGAGGCTGCAGTGAGCCAAGATTGTGCCACTGTACTCCAGCCTGGGTGATGACAGAGTGAGGCTCCATCTCAAAAAAAAAAAAAAAAAAAAACCACTGTAGCCAAATTGAAAGAACTACAGCAAATTAGGGGACATGGCAGCGAAAGGACCAACCTTTTTTTCTTTATTAAAATTTAAAAAATCATCAAGAAAAACACCAAGCCTCAATGATAAAGAGACTGAGGTTCTCATCACTCACATGGAGCCATGCCCACACTCACTACTACCTGGAGAATTATAACTAAAACAAGGATGGAGCGCCATGTGCCACCTCCCACACTGGCAAAGGTTTTTCTTTTTTAAAATTCTGGAGAGGGAGAAAAGGTTGAGGTGCTCTCATAAATCAGCAGTGAAAATTCAAATCATCTTTGGAAAAGTGGGTTGGCAACACGTATCGAAACTTCATTCATTCTGATCCAGTAATTCTGCTCATGTGGAAATCTATCCTAAGAAAATAATCCTATATAAAGAAATGTTTCATACACAATGACATTTTTTGCATATTTATAATACAGAATTGGAAACAACTTAATGTATAATAAGGGAAGAGGAGTTAATTATTGCATGTCAGTATGATGGAATAATACGTGCTCATTAAACATGATATTAGGTACAGGTGTCAAAGCTCTAAAAATACATTAAATAGCAAGAGACAAGTGAACAGATCCTTTATGATTACATCAGTAGAAGAAATACACAGATAAAACACTCCAGAAAAAAGTACACCAAAATGTTGGCAGCCATTGTCTTTGGGTGGGAAGGTTAAGATTTTCTTTTCTAATTTTCACATATTTTTAAAAGCATATATTTTTTTTTTGAGGCAGAGTTACGCTCTTGTTACCCAGGCTGGAGTGCAATGGTGCGATCTCGGCTCACTGCAACCTCCGCCTCCTGGGTTCAGGCAATTCTCCTGCCTCAGCCTCCTGAGTAGCTGGGATTACAGGCACGTGCCACCATGCCCAGCTAATTTTTTGTAGTTTTAGTAGAGACAGGGTTTCACCGTGTTGACCAGGATGGTCTCGATCTCTTGACCTCGTGATCCACCCGCCTCGGCCTCCCAAAGTGCTGGGATTACAGGCGTGAGCCACCGCGCCCGGCCAAGCATATGTTTTTTGTTTGATTTGAGTTGGAGTCTCGCTCTGTCACCCAGGTTGGAGTGCGGTGGCACGATCTTGGCTCACTGCAAACTCCCTCTTCCAGGTTCAAGGGATTCTCCTGCCTCAGCCTCCCAAGTAGCTGGGACTTCAGGCACATGCCATCATGCCTGGCTAATTTTTTATGTTTTAGTAGAGACAGGGTTTTGCCATGTTGCCCAGGCTGGTCTCGAACTCCTGAGCTCTAGCAATCTGCCTGCCTCGGCCTTCCAAAGTGCTGGGATTACAGGTGTGACCCACTGTACCCAGCCAGCATGTGTTATTTTTATAACAAATACATTTGTTCGTTAACCAGCCATAATCACATTGTGTAGGTTTTTTTTTTTTTTTTTTTTTCGAAACAGAATCTCTGTTGCTCAGGCTGGAGTGTGGTGGTACGATCTTGGCTCACTGCAGCCTCTGCCTCTTGGGTTCAAGCGATTCTTGTGCCTCAGCCTCCCAAATAGCTAGGACTACACACATATTCCAATACGCCTGGCAAAATTTTTGTATTTTAGTAAAGACAGGGTTTCATCATGTTGGCCAACCTGGTCTCGAACCCCTGACCTCAGGTGATCTGCCCGTCTCAGCCTCCTAAAGTGCTGGGATTACATGTGTAAGCCACTGCACCCAGCCTGTGTAGGTATTCTGCTAAGTGACTACTCAACTCAGGGATCATTTAGGATTAATAATGACTACCTAGTGCTGGCATTACTTACTGAGCACTTATGCACCACATCTGACTGTGCCACATGATTGGCTTGCCAGACCGCCTTTAATTCTCACCACGTGGCAGGTACCATTATCAATCCCATTATACAAGTGGGGAAACTAAGGCTTGCAGAGGGACGTGACTTGCCCCCCTACCTGGGCAAGGACCCCAAGAGTCCTGGGCTAGGGGAGGAACCAGATGTCCATGTCATCCCAAGCCAGAGGGCCAGGAGTTCCCTTACCGCAACAAGCTGTTTCTTTAGTACCAGGGTCATGATGTCATCGGCACATGTTGTCTGGATCAGGGTCATGAGCAGCTCCGGGCTGCAAGTGTCCTTGGGAGGAGTGGTCTGGATTGGTGCAGGTGAGGTCTGCAGTCTACCACCTGTGGGGTAGCAGAGGCAGGCCAGGCAGATGGTCACTATGTGTGTGCGCTCACTGTGCGCCGGTACCAGGCGCTTCCATTTTTTTTTTTTTTTTTTCTTTTTAAGATGGAATTTCGCTCTGTTACCCAGGCTGGAGTACAGTGGCATGATCTCAGCTCACTGCAACCTCTGCCTCCCAGTTTCAAGCGATTCTCAGGCTCTTCTAGGATTAGCTACTCCCATTGTTGCCATGTGCAGATGAGAAAAATGAGGCTCAGAGAGGCTGATGCCCCTTGCCCAGGCTCACACAGAGGTGCTTCACCAACAGTGTGGCCACTAACCCAAAGGAGGGGAAGGGAAGGGAGGGGCTGGGGGAAGGTGCTCACCGCAGCTGGGGGCCCGAAGTGAGACAATGCGGGCCAGCGGTAGCTCCACGAAGGCTGCCACAACGCTGGCATTGAGCAGCCTGGCCTCCTTCAGCAGGCCTTGGGGTGTGTCTGGGAGGTCAAAGCCACGAATATTCTTCTCTGGAAAGATCTTGAAGGAATATTCTCCAGTGGTCTAATGGTGGGGAGAGAGGCGGAGCAGGGGGTCATGGACACAGCCTTGGTCCTACTGTGCCCCCACTCCTGCTGTGTCCTTTGCCTGACCCCTTCCCTCACCTACGGGCATAGGAGGTTTGCCCTTCAACTCAGCTCCGGGGTTCACCTCCCCAGGAAATTTCCCTGATCCCGAGGTTGGGAGTTTGGGTTTTGTGTCCCAGGAGCTGCGCGAAACTCACCCAGATCTGCATGTTGTGGTTGGCGTCGATAAGCCAGGACACGTAGGGGGGACCCTGCAGGATGAGGATGGCGTCGGGGTCCCCAGACGCGCAGCTCAGTTCCACCTTTACCGTCACCGTCCGGGGCCTGTGGGGAGACAGACGTGGATGGAACGCTGACGTGGACAGGCCAGGCGGGGAGTGAGGCCTGGCGTCGGGTGGGCGGCGGCTGCACTCTCACCTGGTCAGATCTGGGTCCATGGGATGGGGATGGGACTGGGACTGGGGCCAGGCTTGCGCCCAAAGGGGAGGGGCCCGTAGGGGGCGGAGCCTAGAGTAGGAGAGGGCGGGCGGCGGGGCTGGGGCGGGGCCTCTCAGGGGTAGGGCCTAGTGTCAGGGGCGGGGCGGGGCGGGGCGGAGCGGGGCGGAGCGGGGCGGAGCGACCCTTACCCAGAGGAGTGGCTCGGCAGGACCCTCAGGATGTACGCCTCCTTGTAGCCGGCCACGCCTTCCAAGCGGCAGCCATGGACCAAGTGGGTGCGCGGCCGCCACTCGAGCCTGCGGCCCATGTCCTGGCTGGCTTCCGGTAGGCAGAAGAACAGGGACCTCTGGGCTGCAGAGACACACGCACCTCAGTCCTTTCCCCGAGCAGCCCGGCATCTAACAGAGCCTCACCCTCACCCACAGCCAAAGATAGTGGTGGCGGAGCAGGCAGGAGGGTGCGCCCCAGTGGTGGAGAGGCATCGGAGGACCTAGGTTCTAACTTCCCTTCCACCACTTACCTGCCAAGTGATCCTGTGCAAGTCCCCGGGCCTCCGTTTCCTCATCTGTCAACACAGGGTTAATAGAAGTGATGAGCCCATGACACGTGTTAGGGTGCAGTCCCAAAACAACCCCGCACATCACCCCATTTTAGTATTTCTTCTAGCATTTAGCAAGACCTGAAAGCATAGATTTATTTGTGTACATGTTTATTGTCACCTCCCTCGTCACAGTATCAGCTCCAGGAGGGCAGGGCCTGAGTCTGTCCCCACAGTGTCCCCAAGTGCGTAGCATAATAGGGCTTTGGCACGTAATAGATGCACAACAACATGAAAATGCTGGATTTTTTTGGTCAAGGAACTGGCATTTCACATGTTTCAATCTGATATTGGTGGAGGAGCCGTCGATGTCTTAAGGCAGCACTGGTTTGTACGTGGCCTGCACTCACTGTGTCCCCTCTTGCACTCTTGGGGCCCAAGTTTGAGGTGTGGGCCAGAGGAGCTCAGGTTCCTCCTGAGGAGTGTCATGAGCCCAGAGAGGTTGTTGGGGAAACTGACCTTGGCCCACTCGGAGGAGGATGCTCTGGGGGTCATTCAGCTTGGCAGCAGAGGTGACGGGGCTCCTTGCAGCTGCCCAGTCGAGGATCTGGGTCATGGTCGGGAGGGATGGCAGCTCTGTGGTATTGATTCCTGGGGGCCCTTGGAAGGTGACCAATTTGGGATTCTGGGGAGAAACATGGGAGGCTCAGAATGCTGTTCCTGGCTCTTTGTCCCCTCTATCCCATGTAGGAGATCAGGAGGTAATTTGTGGAGTCAGCCACTGGCTGAGAGAAGGAGGCCAGAGCTGAGAATGCTGTCTGACGGATCTGCAGTCAGCCCAGAGCCCCCTAGCAGTCAGATTGGCCCCTTCTCCCTTCCGCAGTTGGGGGGGACAGATGAACACACAGCCTTGTTCATCCACCTGTCCAAACATCACCCACCCCTCCAGAGCTGTTCTCATTCAACTCACATCTATGCCATCATGTAGTTCTGGCTCTCCCTATGCTCTGAGGGTCTGCGGGGGACAAAGTCTACCTTGCCCATCCTTACAGTACTTGACACATGGTAGGCACTGAGAAATCTTTGTCCAATTTTGTGCTGGACCCTGGGCCCATCACAGGATCCTGACATGCCAGCCTCACCCTGACACCCGGCACGTGGTGGGTGCTCCCTGCCTATGGGAAGAAAGGGAGAAAGAGAGGAAAGAAGAAAGGGATGGATGAATGAATAAATGAATTAAAGTCAGACAGCAGTGGTCCCTGCCCTGGGGGATATTACCACTCAGAAACTAGACATGCATCAAGTCATTTGAAGCAATAGAAGACAGATTTTTATTTAATAAGAAACAAACAAGCCAGATAAATCTCCTGGTTGGATAGGGATGGGGAATCTGGGTGGATCTGGCATCTCACTGCCTACCCTGCCAGTGCCTCAAAAGCGATGGGGGTCGGGGGTGAGGAGGAAAGCAGACAGAGAAGACTTCCTGGAGGAGTGACTCTGGAGAGCTGAAGGATTCAGAGGAAGCTGTTGGTGCCACTGACTGAGCTCCTTTGTGTACAGTCTCCAAAGCCAAGGGCATTGAGCTGAATGAAGCAGCAGCAGCAGAAGGGCAGAGGGCTTCAGGCTGGATTTTTAAACATTTTTTTTTTGAGAAAGAGTCTTGTTCTGTCACCCAGGCTGGAGCACTCCAGCCTGGTGCAATGGCTCACTGCAACCTCTGCCTCCTGGGTTCAAGCAACTCTCTGCCTCAGCCTCCCAAGTAGCTGGGATTACAGATACCTGCCACCACATCTGGCTAATTTTTGTATTTTTGTATTTTTTGTTGTTGTTGTTGTTTGAGACGGAGTCTTGCTTTGCCACCACGCTGGAGTGCAGTGGCGTGATCTCAGCTCACTGCAACCTCCACCTCCTGGGTTCAAATGATTCTCCTGCCTCAGCCTTTTGAGTAGCTGGGATTACAGGTGCACATGACCACGCCTGGCTAATTTTTGTATTTTTAGTAGAGATGGGGTTTCACCATCTTGGCCAGGCTGGTCTTGAACTCCTGACCTCATGATCTGCCTGCCTCAGCCTCCCAAAGTGATGGGATCACAGGCATGAGCCACTGCACCTGGCCTTTAAACATTTTTTTTTTTTTAATTTTGAGACAGAGTTTTGCTCATTGCCCAGGAGTGCAATGGCACATTCTTGGCTCACCACAACCTCCACCTCCTGGGTTGAAGCGATTCTCCTGTCTCAGCCTCCCAAGTAGCTGGGATTACAGGCATGTGCCACCACGTCCGGCTAATTTTTTGTATTTTTAGTAGAGACGGGGTTTCACCATGTTGGCCAGGATGGTCTCAATCTCTTGACCTTGTGATCCACCTGCCTTGGCCTCCCAAAGTGCTGGGATTACAGGCGTGAGCCACCACGCCCAGCCAACATTTTTTATTGTTATTTTTTAGAGATGAGGGTTTCACTATGTTGCCCAGGCTGGTCTCTAACTCTTGGCTTTAAAGGACCCTCCTGGCCCCGGAGTGGTGGCTCATGCCTGTAATCCCAGCACTTTGGGAGGCCGATGTGGGTGGATCCCCTGAGGTCAGAAGCCGCGTGGCCCCAGGAGGAAGGTGACACAGCCAGGCCAGAGCCCGTGGCTGCTGCCACGACCTTCCCGCTGGCGAGCCGAGCCGTTTCATGTTCCCGCGCCACCCTGGGCTGCACCAGCTCAGATCCCAGCCCGGTGTGGGGAAAAGGGAGGAGCCATGTGAGGCCACGCCCCCTCTGGGGCCTCAATTTCCCCTTCTGGGCACCGAGAGATGGACCTCAAGGAGTCAAACCCTCTTGTCCCTGGTAGTTGGATTTGGCCCTCTCCCTCCTAGGACCTTCATATGCTGGCTTGGTTGTGTCTGTCTGTCTCTGTGCTGTCCCTGTTGCCAGTCTGGAAGTTTCTCCCCTGTCCCCCATGCCCAACTTCGCTCAAGCTTGCCTCCTTCCCACAACGGGCACGTTTCTTTCTATGCCTCTCTCCCCTTTGCTATCTTTGCTGTCTCCCGGGCTTTCCCCATCCCGCCCTCTGCTTTCTGCTGTAAACAACAGCTGCTCACATCTGGGGGCCACCTCTCAGACCTTCCACGTGGAGGAGGCAGTGCTGGCAGGCCACCCCACCTCCTCCAGCCCTGAACCCCTGGCAGTGGGTCCCAGCTCACTGACCTCCTCTCTCTGGTAGATGTATCTAACACTCTTTAAACTTGAGGTTTTTTAGTTGTTGTTGGTTTTAAAATTTTTCCCAAATCCACAGCTAAACTGAAAACTTGAGTTTTTAAAAATAATTTTTCTCCAAAGTAAGCCAAGTCAATTTAGAGCAACTCTTGCAAACTCAACAAAGTGTAAAGAGGCAAATAAATGTCTCTCCTGATCCCGCTTCCCAGCCCTAACGACTGTTAACACATTATTAGGTTTTCTCCTGAACTTTTTCCTCTGTTTTTAAATATTTTCAAATATATGTCATGTAACTTTTTCTTTTTTTTTTTTTTTTTTTTTTTTTTTTTTTTTTTTTTTTTTTTTTTTTTTTTTTTTTTTTTTTTTTTTTTTTTTTTT